ATGTATCATTTTTTAGCAATTTTATAAGGATCTAGCTTTGAAAGACTTGGCTACGGTCCGTCTTTCAATGAGTTTCTTTCCACAAACGAATTTTTGTGAGAAAAGTACTTTTATAAATAATGATAATCTCATACACGCACATGTACATACAGGGTTATCCAGAAGTCCGGGACCCCCCTTATAACTTTTGAACAAAAAATGCTAGAGATTTGAAATTTGGGGAATGTTCCTAGGTCAAAATGAACTTCTTTTTGGCGTACCCAAAATTTTGGGGGGCGCCCCCCCCCCCTGAGGGGGGGCGGACCCTAACTTTTTTTTTTCAAATGGGAACCCCTATCTTGTGATACATCATTCGAAAGGGCTTAAAAAAAGAAAACTTTTGGCGCAAACCGATTGTCGATACCTCAATTTTTAACAAAATGGCGGCCAAAAAATGGCGGCTCATTCAAAAGTCTGGGCCTCCGCTCATAACTCATGAACAAAAAATGCTAGGGATTCGAAATTTGGGGAATATTCCTAGGTGAAAGGGAACTACTTTTTGGCGTACCCAAAATTTTGGGGGGCGGCCCCCCTGAGGGGGGGTGGACCCTAACCCTTTCTTTTCAAATAGGAACCCGTATCTTGTGATACATCATTCGAAAGGGCTTGAAAAAAGAAAACTTTTGGCGCAACCCGATTGTCGATACCTCAATTTTTAACAAAATGGCAGCCAAAAAATGGCGGAAATGCGTTTTTTGGTTATTTACCGACGTATTCGCTTGAAACTTGGTTTCCACAGGTTTTCGAGCACGAGAAAAACAAATACGATATTGGATTTGCAAAATACCCGAGCGTTTCCAAGATGGCGGCCGAAAAATGGCGGGAAAGTAAGTTTAAATCGGAATGTGTCAGATTTCCTGTGCGTTTCTCTCAGCCAGTTGAAAATCGTGTTTCCATTTCAACTACCCAGGACTCATCACGGGGAGGTGGCTACGCGTCGAGTCCCACCCGTGCCAATGGAAACACGATTTTCAACCGGCTGAGAGCAACGCACAGGAAATCTGACACATTCCGATTTAAACTTATTTTCCCGCCATTTTTCGGCCGCCATCTTGGAAACGCTCGGGTATTTTGCAAATCCAATATCGTATTTGTTTTTTTCGTGCTCGGAAACCTGTGGAAACCAAGTTTCAAGCGAATACGTCGGTAAATAACCAAAAAACGCATTTCCGCCATTTTTTGGCCGCCATTTTGTTAAAAATTGAGGTATCGACAATCGGTTTGCGCCAAAAGTTTTCTTTTTTTAATCCCTTTCGAATGATGTATCACAAGATAGGGGTTCCCATTTGAAAAAAAAAGTTAGGGTCCGCCCCCCTCAGGGGGGGGGGCGCCCCCCAAAATTTTGGGTACGCCAAAAAGAAGTTCCCTTTGACCTAGGAACATTCCCCAAATTTCAAATCTCTAGCATTTTTTGTTCAAAAGTTATAAGGGGGGTCCCGGACTTCTGGATAACCCTGTATATACATATTTAAAAAAAAAAAAAAAAATTCTATGGTATACTAATAAGGTAGCATATAAAGTAAAGGTTCATGCCCTAGGCCCAGCCCGGCATGAACTGGGAAGCCACATACATTTGTGTGAAAATAAAAATAATAATAATAAACCCCGAGGGGATTTATGACTTCTCCAGCACTATTAGACATTGCTGCGAGTAAAAAAACCGCGTGGTATTCAGTATATCTCGGTCTAAATATTCTTAACTGATAAATTTGAGTTCTACGGATTATTTACCACTTTCAAATAACGGGTGCTGGAAGAGACAAAAATCCGATCATAACATATTTACCTGATGACTGCATGAAAGTAACGAATTATCAATCAAAGTTGATAAGGTATACATAAAAAAAGGTATGCGACACCTTTCAATTCAAAACTTGAGTGCGACTGAGGTTAAAGCAAATTGACAGCGATCCAAGTAAATAAATGTGAATACAGGGCTATCCAAAAGTCACTGACCACCTCTGTAACTTTTTTTTCAAATTGAGATAGAAGTTTGGAACTTTGGCAATGTTCCTCGGTCTCAAGTAGAAACTTTTTGGTCCCCCCAAAATTTTGGGGGCTCCCTAAAGGGGGTGGGGCTGACTTTTTTTTAAAATGGCAATCCCCCCCCCCCCTTGTGATACCTCATTCGAAAGATAAAAAAAAATACTTTCCCTGCCGAAAATGAGTGTAATATGCTAGCATTACACTCGTGAGTGTATAGCTAGCATAATGTGATTTGCATACAGAATTGCATAAATAATAATAAAAGTTAATAAATTCAGTAGTTAAAAATTATAATAAAAAGATATATAGGTACTACGTATGCACTCTCGAGAATATAGCTAGCATTATACTAGCTATGCACTCACGAGTATATAGTTAGCATTCCACTAGCTATACACTCACGAGTGTAATGCTAGCATTA